GCCCCCCCCCCCCCCCCGCGGGGTGGTTTTGTAGGGGGGGGGGGGGGGGGTCCCCCCACAGCTGATCCCACTGATTGTGAGATGGCCGATCACTGCAGCTGTTTCCAGCACTCCACTCCCCAGCCAGCACTTGCAGGGGAGGCTTCAGCACTCCTGCCTACACCCCCCCCGACCGCCCATCACCTAAGCAGCAGGCACAGCCAGTCAGGGGGTGTACCAGCACTCCAGGGGATGCACATGCACCCTCTATGCATCACCACTGGCCCTGATAATCCAAGCAACTCCCCTAGCAATCCTGGATTTTTCTTTACATATTTTTCCCATGACTTTGTCCAGTCTAGTTTTAAGTGTTTTAAACAATGAGGAAATACACATGCATGTATCTTAGAACTACAAAATAAAAACCTTAATGCTTAGTTTTTAAAGTGAAAAGAAACGAAAGATAAAGGGGCACCAGCAAGTGCTACAGGTCATGGGGCCTGCATGCATCGGGGGCTACACTAGCATGAGTAATGGGCCCTGGGTCACATACCCCCACCCACTGCATATGTAGGCAGCCCCCCACGCCAATCCCTTCCCAGCTCTATACACGTGGCAGCCCCATCCTCAGCTCTCCCACCCTCAGCTCTCTTGATGCTCTGTGCCACACTGTATGCTTCCTTGGCACCATAGATTGTACCATCCATGGTCAGGAGCAGGAAATGAAAGCTGAGGGAGGGGAAATCTAGAGACCCTAGACTGTGGCAAGTGCTAGAGCCAGAGTAGAAGCAGTGGCTGGATAGGAGCTCAGGGGCTGCATGTTAATCCCTCATGGGCCGAATGCATTCCATAGGCTGCCAGTTGGATAACGCTATATTACAGGAAAACATCCTAGCTTGTCAGCGCAGTACTTTTCAGAGATCCTACAGTGATTCTTATATGGTGGTACACTAGCAACTACTTACTGCAGAAGTCCAGTCCTTTAAGGAACACGGTGGACTCTCAGAATCCATTGCAACCTGAAAGAATAGAACAAAATACACTACTTTCACAACAGAGGATATTATCATAATATCCTGTGGGTTACACGTGACTTCTATAGTGAAAAACTAAAAGCTTTGGCCATCCAAGGACTTGCGTGTGTGCATACTTCTCTCCAGAACTGGGGCTGACAGAAACTAAACTAAACTGACACAGCCTTCAGGAAATTAATCGACTCAAACCACAAGCTAACTTATTTGAGGCTCACATTTTAAACTGGCTCCACTACAGACCTAGAGACTGTATGGGTGCCTATATGCGAGCAGTGAGGCTGCTCCAATGTGCTGCAATTACTGGGCATCAGTCCATGCTCGATTAATGAAGTCTGCTGGAGTGTGGCAATTAGCACATGCCAGCAGACTCCAGCATCTTGTATATCAGCATCCCTGCACTTAAAAATGGTGGCGGGGCATTTTAACTAAAGTGTTGCTAAATAAGCTTTCATTAAAGTGACCCTGCTGGCATTTGGGGGATGCTGACACGCTAGACCAGAGGTGGGCAAAATGCGTTCCACCAGGCCATTCTATCCAGCCCGCAGCGCCCCTAAAAAATTTAGAAAATTAATGTTTATCTGTCCTGGGCTGCCAGTCATGCAGCCCTCAATGGCTTGCCAAAACTCAGTAAGCAGCCCTCCACCTGAAAGAATTGCCCACCCCGCACTAGACGCTACAGGTGCTTTAATTAGAGCAGTTCTCGGAGCTACTCTAATTAAAGTGCTCCCCTCCCCCCCTTCCTGTAGCACGTGTATAAACGCCACACATTTCAGGCCGCAGAGTTAAACGTGGCTATTTGTGTCAGCGGCCACATCGCTCGGGTGTGCTGTTGCCTTTGGAGGAATACCTTGGCCACGCCAGCGGGGTTCTCCGGGCTTGCCATTATGGTTTGCAAAAGGACGCGACTTCTCGGTGATTATCACTAATGATCGGTAAAGTGAAGCGCTCGTCTTTGCTGTACCCACTGGGGAATAATCTTCCTGTCTGGAAATAACTGAAAGCTAGAAAACCTTCCGGGTCACATACATTCCCCCTCCCCGCTCTTCCTCAAACACAGGCCCGGGCCGCGGAGCCCCGGAAGTCGGGCCCGGCTCGAGCCCCCGCTTCAGTTCCGGTTTCGGTTCTGGCGCCACTCACGGGCTGGGAGCGGGGCCCGGCTTGGCCCGGCCCCTCAGACTCTGTCCCGGGGCAGCCTCCTACTCCACACGGGGCGGTGCCTGCTGCTCCCCCGGAGGAGGGGAAGGGTCTGCCCAGCCCCGCGCACAGCTCGGCCCAGCCCAGCCCGGCCCGGCCGCCAGGGGCGCGGAGGCCGCTGCACTGAGCGAGGGTGCCTGCCGGGCCGCGCTGACAGGGAGCGGGTAGCTGCGGTCAGGGAACGGCTGGGATTAGGGCTGGAGGCGATGTCTAGCACAAAGCGCTCCAGAAAAACACCCTCCAAGCAAGGTGCGAGTTGTCGGACACGTGAAAAGCCACTGTTGCGTGGGGTGAAGGGGAGCGCACCCCAGGCAAGGTGAAGCTCCTTGGCTTTGGCACCGAGAGTCCGCCCAGACGAGGGATCTGGACAAGGAGAAGCTGGGCGGAGGAGTCACAGATGGCAGCAGAACTTGTAGGGCCTCTTTGCAGGACCGGGCCGGTCAGTGCCGGGGCAAGGAAGTTTGGTGCCCGGGGCAAAGACTGCAGCGGCAGCCAGCCCTCGGCCTATGCACGGATCTGGGGTCATGCGACCCCTGTGCTTGCCCAGGAGTGCACACAGTGGTGGCAGCCGCCTTCCTCCCATCCCCGCACCCCCCAAATGACCCAGTCATGGCTCCGTCCCATGCCTCGCCCCAGCTGGGTAGCACCTGTTTGTGCCCCTTCATATTGGTGCCTGGGGCGGTCACCCCAGTTGCCCCCTGTTTGATATGGCAGCGTGGCCAGTGACACTCAGGCTTGAAGGTGCAAGCTGTGGAAGTGACACAAGCGTTCCTGGGCTGTGGTAAACCCCAGCATAGCAGATGGAAACTCAATGGGTGGAAAAGGAACTATGGAAGACTCATGCTGAATCACAGCTGATTTTACAATGGGCAATGACGGGACAGACCCATAGACAAATAGGGTGGAAGGGTCCTCAGGAGGTCATCTAGTCCAGCCCCTTGCTGAAGGCTGGATCATCTTCCCTGTCTAAAAAGTCTCACAGGAGCAGCTTCTAGCAAAGGAGACCAATGCCATTTAGGGCATCGGGAGCATCCTAGGAACAGGAGGAGGAACATTCTCCCACTACTCAGCCCTTTGGAAATGTTAGACAATAAAAGGAGTTGTAAGGTGGGAAGCAGTGATGCCAGCAGAAACAAAACACTTGCATAAGCAAATAGTGGGAAGGACTGGGAGATGACTACGCATTACCACAACAGAGAGGAACTAGGCCAATAGTAGGGTGACAGAGGCTGGACAGACTTGGTAGGACAGGACACTACTCTGGAGTGCAAAACACTATGTCTCATTAGTTGAGAAATGGGTTGGGAATTGTTCTCTTGTTAAGTGCCAGTAAGCCAACCCAGTAAGTTAATTTTTAAGGGGAAAAAGGACCTCAAACATTTGAGTTTTTCTTGAAGAACTAAAACAAGTAGGTTTGTTTCAAGAATACGGCACAGTGGTTGTGAGTTGTAACAGATTGTAAAGTTAGCAATATAATATTACAGTACTGCTAAATGTGTCTACCAGCACTGTCAAGAATTATTTGAAGATGATCGTTCAGTCTACCTAACAAATCTTAATGACAAAGAAATTACAGGCATGAATTTACTAGGTAAAAAGCCAATTAACAGAGCTGGACATCGATTTTCAGGGAAGAAGTAGAATGAAACTTAAACATTTAGTCCCTTATTCTGTGCAGACATTTGTTAGCATGAAACTAATTTTGCTTGGAGGTCCATGCAAGATCAGTTATAAATCATTAGTCTTCTTGCTTCAATTGGCTGGACAAGAGGAACATTCAAACACATTCTAGCTAGATACAATTCAACCTGTACTGCTGGAGTTGGGGTTCTACCATGCCATAAAAGGGAGCAGTATTTTAGTTTTCCCTCTGTTTTTGGATAAGTACATAAAAATCTGACCCAGTCTTTTTATGACCCTCTTCCTTCTGGATTTTCCTAACCTTGACAATTAATAAGGTTGCCTGCTTTTGCTTTCTAAACAAAGAGTTGGTAACTAACCGATGAGTAAAAGGGAGGGGTGTTCCGGAAGTAAAGGGGAAGTGATTATGTTATGCTCAAAGCACTTAGGTTTTAAATGTCACAGTATGGTCATGGAGAACAACTTGCCAACAACTCAGCTTGGGAACTAGCTGCTGGTCTGACAAAGCCTGAGTTTCTTAAACTACAGGGAATACTGCAGAGCTCATCTGTTTATACTAGCTTTTGGCCTCACAAGGGAATTGGAAAGCTTGTGTCTGGTTTTGGGGAGGAAAGTTTACTGGAGCCTTTAAACTGGGCTGAGTTCCTCAATCGATATTGAGTTGTCTACTTAATTTATTTGTACTGTGAAGAGTAGTGCCCATATGTGAATTGGAGAAATGGGGAACACTGTTCTGAAAAAGCGAACTGAAGGGGAACAGGGGAGATTACTTAAAATCTAACCTAGAATGTAAAGAACCTTCAAAAAATTGGAGGCTTCCCCTGACCAGCTAGGATTGACACTGACCTGGTTCTTCACAATGATGAAACTTCTTGCTGTGCATCAGAAATCAGATGAGGAAAAGACCTGCGTGCAGTCCGGATTTGACCAGAGCAGATCCAAGATACCAAAAAGCTGTGTATGTAGCAACAGAAGAGAGTTCACTATGCACATGCAGTGAGTCCTTTGTGCATGTGCTTGGTGACTGACCCCAGAGTTCTTGGCAGGAAAGGGACATGTGACCACACCACCATATCTTCTTGAATGGTGCACCCCTGCCTGTGTGCAGGGGTTCAAATTAGCCATGGCTTTTTCACTGCTTAGACAAGCCTTAAATTTAGAGCAGTCTACTTTGGGAAATAACTGCTTAAAGTAGCTTTAAGCTGTGAATTCAGAATGGATTAACTATCAAAGTAGATTCAGGTAATTCAGAACAACACTCTTGCTGTGGAAAAGGAGTATCTACAAAGATATTAATTAGGAATTTGTCTTGTACAAGAATTCTTGGTATGGGCAAGCCCTTGAAATGCTGCTCAAAAGAAGTTTAAAGGCCTCACCCACGTTCCTGCCCCTGATTTATGCCACACACAGGTTGATCACAGCTCAGGGTTTGGACAGTGGTCATTAAAGATCACATGGCAGTGTATTCTGTTAAGCCTTCTGAAGTTGGACTATATTTCAGAAAAAACTGGAGTAGAATTTAGGTGCCTGTATACAAAACTGTGATCTTGAAAACTACTTAGCTGCTGCTAGCTTTACAAGAGTATTAGCTGCTTTCCTTTAAAACAGTCAGAAAGGACAGTGTTTGAGCACTTATCTAACGTGGAGAAATCAGGTTTAATTGCCTCCTATGTCTGAGCGGATTCAAGGCTGTAGCTCCCAGCTTCCCAGAGAGCACCTTCACCATCAGGTTATAGGTTCTGAAGTAGGGGCTCTCTCCATACCTTCTTTTGAAGCTGTTGCACAGAGCAATAAGGAATTGAAGATACATGGACTCAGGCAAAGCATAAGTGTAAGTGTTACTGTAGCTTAGCGACTAACGCTCATCTGGGAAGGAAGAGACCTGGGTCATAGTTAATGGTCCAAAGACGATTCATAAACTGTCCTGTAAGCGTTACTCTCCCAAGTGAGTGCCCTAACAGCTAAGCTAGCTAATGCTTTTGATTTTTTCATGCCTCAATTAAATTCTTCTGCACAGTGGAACAGCTTCAAAAGAAGGGGTGAAGACAGCCCTGCTGGTTAGGGCACATTTTCTGGCAGATAGGGATGTGAATGTCTATGGTCTCACTGCCTGAAGTTATTATATAAGAAGTATGCTGGTTGTGCTCACCCATGCCATAAGAGAAAGTAAAGGTGCTTACCTTGAGGAGAGGTTTCTGCAGTGTGGCTCTTGAAGGGACAAATGCATCTAAGCCTTGGAAAGGGAGGTAGGATTTAAGATATATCCTTGACCTCAGTGTTTCTCCACTGATGATCTTTAGACTGCTCTTTAGTCCAAGTTGAATTTAGGTAATGTCCTTACCATGGTGGAGGTTTTGGATCTTATTCTGAGGTGGTGCATAAACTATCAAACGCAGCATAGGGATTCCAGATACTGGTGTATTACAAAAGTAGTTGCATAAATGGGTTTTCAGGAATTGAACAGGGCAGAATAGAATCACACTTGGGCACCTAAGTCCTTTTACAAGACTAATAGATGGAATAGAATCTGGTCCTTTGTCAACACTAGAATTAAATGGCCAGTTCCAGAGAGACAGAAGTGCACCTGCCCTGGAGAGTCTAGCAGCTCCGCCGCCACCACATCCCTTGACCCCACTCACTGCCACTGCCGCCTTCCTCTGCTGCTTCCTGCCCACTCGCCACCTACTTCCTTCTGCCCTCCCACCCACCACCATTTTTCTCTGCCACTGCCACCACTTCTCTGCCTGCAGGGCCAGGGTTAGGGCCATCCTGCAGGCAAGGGTAGGAGCACAACACACCTGCCCCCATGGGAGTGAGGAGGGCTCAACCCCCTGTCAGCATAGCAAGGGAAGCCTGGGGCCGGGCTGGATACAGTGAATTGGTAGGAGCCTGCCTGTGAGCAGAATGAAATCACCTGGTAAGCTGGTTCCAGCCATGGGTCATATTTTGCCTGCCCTTGGTCTAGGTGCATTTAGATGCCAAGTATCTCTGTTTTACAAGAGAAAAGTATGCTTCCAAAAAGGTTAGGATGCAAACAGCCAATACTGATTTGCATTATTTACAGATAAGACTCCGAAACGTGCCCTAACAGTGTCAGCTCCCTGAGTCTTTGTCCCAGAACATGTT